CCTTTCCATCCGTATAGTGGGAAATTAATTCATCACTGTTGTTACTTAAGGCATAAATCACAGACTCCTCCTGAAAAGCACTTTCTCCTCTGAAATCCGTTAAGTTGCTTCCACCTCAGCAGCATTCACCTCCAAGGCAAGTATACCAAGGGGCTTCTGAATAATTTTAAAAAGAGAATGTCAAGGAAGAATATAGAGCAAACTAGGTTATGTGCATATTTATCTTGAAGAATTTTCACTTTCTTGCATCTAGTATATTTTTCTAAACAATAGAAACCAAAATTCTTCATAAATTCTAGAACTTCCGTGTGTCGTTTACGCGGTACAGATTTTCCATCGCCTCGCAATCTCGGTCTTCCTGCTGACGCTTCTTCAGAAACCCGAGTTTTGTCTGTTCCGCGCTTGTCTGTATCGCTCCACATTCAATCTAGTGCGGTGTTGCAGCATTCTCGCTCTTGCGGCATTCCTCTCCTCTATTAACAGTTTTCGCCGTCAAACCAGTCATTCGCCGTCAAACCAGTCAATCGCCGTCAAACCAGTCATTTCTTCGGTCCGGGATCGCCGCTGCAGCAGTACTACCTATGGCGGAACGGATGTCCCTCCAGCAATCTTCAAGAGTAGCTGCGCCAAGCTGCTCTTCCGTGGGTACACACTTAATCTAGCTCGGTAAGATCTCCAACAGCCGATTACCTCGGCATTTTCTTTTGCTGATATCTCTGCAAAATATCTATTTGTTAGCTGAGTCTCGGCAATTGTTTTACTGAATCTCAGCAAAATAAATTGCAGAACTACTCGGCTGTTGGAATCTTGGCGAAAAAATTTATGTGTGTAGTGCAACTTCCAGCTGCTGTGCGTAGTCCTGGGTGACTCCAGCGTCCTGTAATTGCCTAATGTTGGGTCGTGGCGTTCGACTTCGACGGGTGTTATGTACCGTCGAGAGTTTTGAGAGCATGCATACTGCAACTAGGTAGTGGTCCTTATCAACGTCCACACTGCGGTACGTGCTGACGTTGATAATGTCGGAGAAGAATTTCCCGTCGATTATAACGTGGTCGATTTGATTTTCTGTGTGTTGATCAGGTGATCTCCAGGTGGCAATGTCGTAAATTTGCATTCTACGGGAAATGGCTCTAATACTGGCCTATGGATCTAAAATTGGGCCCATCACTAAAAATCTGCTATTTATCAATTTTATCTAGATGAACGCGTCATTAGGACGGTATTAATAGATATTTTGGTCACTATTGAAAATTTAGTCGATTGCTGAATTTTTGTATGGGCCCAAATTAGGGGCATTTAGGCCGACATTACATCCATTTTCCCTATACGATTTAACTTAAACATTGTAATGCTATTTATCTTATATGCGATCCAGTTCGCTTTCAGCTGTGGACGGACACAGCAGCATTTGTTCTCGGTGTCGATAGTGCTATCGGCAGTCGGTTTTTCGACCAAGCTATTGTGTGTTGCGCACATTGTTTATCCGCAGTTAGCTAGCCGTGTGTGGAATCCTGTGGATAGAATCAAGAATGAATGGAGTTGAAGTTAAAAACACCGTCAAATTTAGTTTTGGCGATGGAGCTAGAAAACCGTCGATGGGCGAAATTATTAATTTCGCGAAGACTCTGGATGCGGATCCTGCGGAGATGGAAGCTATATACAGGGTAGCCGAGCAGAAATCCTTGTTTATTAAATTCAAGGTCGAAGAGGCAATGTGTCACACATTGAAGAATAACAGTGAACAATTAACTTTCCGTTATGACGATGGAAAGGCAGTAGAGGTACACATGTTGAATGCGGATGAATACATTCAGTATGTCAGAGTGTACGATCTGCCTCCTGAAGTGCCTGACAAAAACCTAGCATGGTGCTGGGGAAATACGGCAAGGTAAAACGTGTGGTTAGGGAGAAATTTCCTCCCGAGTTAGGTTTTGATATATACACTGGCATCCGCGGTGTATATATGGATGTTAAGAAGGAAATTCCTACATCACTGCATTTACTCAACCGTAACACGTTTCCTTGTTCTATCCCGGGAACAAGAATGTGTGCTTTGTTTGCAAGATTGAGGGGCACCAGATGAATTCTTGCCCAAAGCGGAAACCTCGCAGGAAGCTCGAAAAACAACAAACGACGGATACGGAAAAACGTGACCCAGACGAAGCCCAAAGTGTTAGTACCGTGGATACCTGTACATCATATGCGGGTGTTTTAGCCGGCGATGCTTCAGCGGATGCTATTGAGGTGTTCGATGAAGAAGTTATGGCAATCGATTAGACGACCCCGGACATGGAAGAAGAACAAGAAGCAGCAAGAGGAAGTCAGCTTGAGACCGAAAGCCATCCATTGTTCTTGATCGCGAAGAAATTGAAAACTGCTATTGAAACACAGAAAACGGAAGAAAGAAGAAAACTGCGGCCGCGAGAGAAAGTTAACACCAAACAACCGGCTTCTAGGAAAAAATGAACTAATTTTATAAACTCTTTTATTTCAAATTAATGAAAAACTGTAAGAATCGGCTCCGTAAAGCTAACGCGCTTGAGCCTTACAAATAAATTAATGGATAAAAAAAAATCTTATATGCGATGTTGACTTAAACTGCAGCACTATGTGTACATTGTTATACGTCTTATGGGTTAGGAGTTATCCTCAATAGTTTCCCAAATTCTCATTAAATTTTCGTTCATTCTCATCAAGATTGCCTTGAAATTCTACTCAGAATTCGTAATTGGAATTCAAATTTGAATAACCTCGAAATTCTCCTTGGAGCTACCTTAGGATTCTCCTTCCAATTATCTTGGAATATTAAATGGAATTTTCTTGAAATTCTCTTCAGAATTCGTTGAGAATGTTGCTAAGGAATATGGAAATTCTCTCCACAATTCAGTTTTGAGGAACTCTAGTCATTGCTCCCTTAAAATTCCCTTAAGATTCATCGCAATTTCTTTGACATCTTCCTTAGCAGTGTTCGTTAAAACTCAAAAACTAATTTCATTTGTGAGATTATTTGCCTTGCGATTGAGATTGAGATATTTATTGCGAAATTCAGCTGCATAAAAATCACCGATACGATTTTCGGTTGAAAAATTAATTCCTTTATATTTTGACATTATTTATCATTTGCGGATACACCAAAAAATCATTCCAGCTGAAATTAATAAAATCAGGTCAAACGTCAATTGATGGCATGCAGACGAATGTTTTTTTTTTTAGTTTTCCAACGAAAAAGCAAGGGGAGCGACACATCTTAATCTCAATTCTAGATGCTCGAAAAATCTCACACTAGCGTGACCAGGGATGTACTCATAATTTATTATACAAATAATACTCATGTTCATAGCACGTCATACAAGTGTATCCGCGGCATTAGTATTATTGTTCACCTATTCGTCAAGAGAGATGACTCTACCAGCGATGCAGAAGAAACTTTGCTTTAGTGTATTTATCTGTACACACGCTGAGTAGATAGAACGAAGATCAATGACGATTCTGAAGATTTCCTGCAAAAAGAAGATGCGAAAAATGATAGAAGATTTTTAGAAGATCCATTCGCTAGTGTGAGATTTATCGAGCATCTAGAATTGAGATTTAGATGTGTCGCTCCCCTTGCTTTTTCGTTGGAAAACTAAAAAAACATTTATCTGCATACTATCAATTGACGTTAGACCTGATTTTATTAATTTCAGCTGGAATGATTTTTTGGCGTTATGGTGCGAATGCGTCACAATGCATGAGAATCCCATTCGTGAGATTTGTTTGCAAAATTCGTAAATGAGTTTTTTTCACTCAGGAGTTGTCAATGAATAAGATTTGAGAATGAACACTGCTCCTTAGCTAACCCTAAGAATGTTAACAATATTCCCAAGGAATTATAGTTTAAATTTATTTTGTAACCTTATCATTTAACTTGCAATGATGCTCCTAGAATTTAAATTCTCCACAGAATCACTCCGAAGTTCTCGTCAACATACTCTCGAAACAATGTTCAATTTTTCTTTGGAATTTTCCACACAATTTTTAGGAGTTATGCTTGGAAAGTCCCAAAATTCTCATTAAAATTTAATTTGAATTCCAGACAGAACTTCCTTTGGAATTCTGCTTAAAATTCACTTGAGATCACCTCACAATGCCCATATATTTTTCCTTAGAATTGTCTTTGAACTCTTCACTCGAAATTCAAAAGAAGAATCAAACTAAATAAGGATCTTCTCAGCATTTTCCTTGGAAATCAGCAATGGATTCTGGTATTATCAGTATTCAGGTCGTTATTGGAGTCCGTAAGCTCCTGAAATCGAAGCAAAACAAATTACTAAATCATATTTGGATGCACTTTGACTATATGTTTAGTATTACTTCTGCGTGAAGTCAACGATTTACATAGTTGAAGATGCTAATTTCAAATAACAGACTAAAGTGGTATATTTTATACGATAGATGGAGGAGATGAAAGTCTAGAGTTGATAGTTCCGTTAGAGTACGGCAGTGTGAAAATTGCATATAGAAAGTAGATAGCGAGCTAGGACAACTTTTAAGGAAGGTACAAATCGGTTTTTCATCTTTCTTTACCAAACCCCCCCTTTGGAGCAATCCTCCTCAGATTTCCCTAGGAATTATCCATACAATTACTTTTTAATTCTAATCGAGTTTACTGAAAATTCATCGAAATGTCAATCACGAGCTATGAACATTATTTTTTCATCCATGCATTGACTCTTGAAAGTAGTAGTCGAAATAATGAAGGCAAATCACAAACTGCGAAAAAGCGTCAGATTATCTGCTGCTCAGAGATCTCCATGAACTTTTTTCAACCTTCTCAATACTTTCACAGAAGGTTCCCTCTACTAATCTCTAAGGTGGACTGGACCAGCTTATTCATTGATAAAAAAAAATACTATCTACAAAGTGATTGCATTTTAGGAAATAACACTAAATTGTTTGACCTTTAAGCTAATTTGAGCTTGCCCTAACGATATACCTCCATCTTCAAATCATTTCCACAGAAAACATGGGCCGCACGCTCTTTTCTCCGCGCCTCGAGTACAACGAGTGGCATCCGGTCGGCCGTGGTGATCCCCTGAAAAATGACCCAACCTACGACTACAGTCCACCGGTGTTGGAACGTGTACGCTATTGGCAGGAAAACATGGCCAACAAAGACAAGGGCAGTGACATCCTTATTCTTGGAGTGCCATCGAAGAAATCCAGTTCCAAAGTCGAGCATCAACAATGGACGAACAACAACGGTCCGGTGCGACGCAACTACTACCACCAGCAGATCAACGAGTTACCGACTGTCCTGATGCCACCTCCACTGAACAACCATCTTCAACCCGAAGAGGTGTACCTATGGACTCAGGCTACCACTCATCAAGCGCAACGCTACGAAACACCTGCCGATGGTTTCAAGTATAGACCAAACCCTCCGGCTCATCCCAGTCAGAGTTTCGTCAGCCAATATACAGGTAAGACCGATTCGGCCCCAAGAGCTACAGAGATACTTTCATCCCATTTACCATTTTCAGGTCAAAAATACAACGAACCACCCGTGCATCATGCAACTCCATACCAACAACAGCAACAGCAACAGCAAGCACACCCCAGTCAACAGTATACAACCACGATTCGTCTGACCACCCCAAACGATTTCAACTCCAAAAAGCCAATTCTTCACACAATCCTACAGAACGAAAAGGCTTTCCCCTTCACCAAGACTGCGGTAAGCAGCAGCATCACCGAGTACACTTCGCACTTCTACAATCCTCAGAACATCAACGCCATGGCCACCACAATCATCCATCCACCGCAAACAACGGAATATCTGGCGATAGAGCCCTCCAATACCTTACCACCGGTGAGCACCGACATCAAAGCGCCGCACGTAACGCCAGCGGCATTCGTTCCACCGATGACTCCCACCACGACGACGACTTCAACTCCAGCCCCACCTTCACAATCCATAACGGCTGACCCTTTCCTCGCACATCTCCAACAAGCCCATCCGAAAGCCCCACTCTACCTGATCATCGAGGGCCACTCCAAGGTCAAAACATACGGCCTCAACAACAACGATACCTTGATGCAGCTACCGAAAATGGTCCCGGTGGTTGGCTCGGAAAATGCCATCATCCGACACGTGGTCAACCGAGACGAAACCGGTGATGTCGTAAACATCCCTCACATTACGATGAATCCGGTGATGACTTCGACGGTGGCCCCGGGTGCATTGTCATCTTCCGAGGAGACCAGCGAGGAGAAATCCGCCGTAAATTCGCTGCTCAGTTTGCTGGGTTCTTCGTTTGGAGATTACTTCTCGGACAAGGACGCCAACGGTAACTCAATCGACAGTGCGGAAAGCGATAAGGATTCCAAATCGCGGAGGAACGCCCGTAGCGTGGACGATCGGCAGCAGCTTTACCTGTCGGGATCGTTTCAGGTAGGAGACCAGGGGGACGGAGGAACTTCGGCTGAGTATGATGGTTATCGGAGAGGATCAGTGTTTGATGAAAGTGCCAGTTTAAACGAGCAGGAGGAGTTCAAGTATTGAAGAAAGTGAAATGATGTATGTAGTTCAAAATTGTTGTTCCGGAAGAATGTTGAGTTTTCTGTTTGCTGTTAAGTTTGCTAAATTTCGTGTTTTGTTGGAATGAAGCGCCACTGTTATTTCGTGGCGTGACGATCGAATTTCATGTGACCATTTGTACATAGTCAATGCTAATTAGAAGGTAGAGTAGGATAGATACTGCATAGAACAATAAGAGGAAGCGAGAAGAGTTTCAACTGTGCTACTTTGTTTTCCAGCTAAGAATTTCAACAAGTGTATGGAATAGTTGGAAATTCTCCAAGCCATTTTTTGTAGGAAAATGTAGCATGAAGAGATAATAAAGTGCCAGTTACTACTTTTAATTGAAACAACATAGTGAAAAATGTGTTCCCTAGGACATACCGACTACCACGGCATAAATTTAAATTGATAGAAAATAAACGGAAAATTGATTCCAAATTCTACTTAATTTCTGAGTAGTTTGGCAGTTCAATTAAAAAAAAACAGTATTAATCCAGCTACGGTAAGATCTGGTCCTTTTTTTTCCTCTGTTTCCTATTGTAGTATGCCCCGTGTCCTTAGTTTAGTGCATGTCGTATTACTCCATCACTAATGATGAAGTATTCGATTGTCATTCTTGCATTAATCGCAAGGATCCGACTCTAACTGAAAGGTTCCGCTATTTATACCCTTCGGAGTGTTGAAACACCCTCCAAATGCGTGCCCCTTTGTCAGTCAAAATTGGATTCCTTAGCAACAAAATTAAGGAATGACACCGATAATGACCATGCATCAGAACCCTAGTCTTAACCACTTCAAACCTAGGGAACAACAAATAGAAGATTAGGTATCACATAGATGAATACTAACTAACTCATTTTTTCCTTGTTTCAAGATCATCCTCGGTGGACAAAGCCAAGTCTTGTCACTATCAACAAGGCATAAAAAGTAACAAGGACTAAGATGTGTTCCTTTGATTACTGAAAAATCATGTTCCCCTAGTTTGAAGTAGTCGGGACTAAGAATCGGTGATAGATCATCCCGTAACGTAGCTCAAGCGGTTAATAACGTAGAACTTCAATGGATTTTTCCTTCGCATACTATATTGCACGATCAGCTCCACCCGTTTCCATTTCCTCAAATGATGTCTGTAAACCTCTTCTCTCCCATAGTTCGAGAAAACAAAGAAACTTAAAATCAATTTGTTATAAATGAGCTTTCCAGTGTTCACTCGGCTGTCGACAGAAACAGGCCACTCTCGATGTGTGTCACGCGATCGTCTATTTACTCGGCAGCAACTATTATGTGGTCCTCCTCATTGTTCTTCATCAGCAGTTCTTTCGGTGGGAGTGCTGAACACGTTTTGCGTCCATTACTGCGACGGAAGCGCTCAGCGTTGGCAATACTGCCATACAATGAAACCACTGGAAGCAGCTCCCGTTCTGATGGAGGAGGTGTATTGGATAGCGGAAGATAAAAGTTTTATTGTGTTGTACCATTTGACTATAGTTTTAAGATGTATTGTATAGCGAACAAGATTCCTCGGCTCTGTAAAGTTAATTCGATTGAAAAATAAAAGAACTTGAGCACCGTGCACGGTGGCGCTATTATACTTTGTCAACTCAGTTAAGTCGGTTATGACGGAAAACACGGAACAAATTGATCGTTTTAGAGCAGATTCTGCTTGTCGTTTAGACGACCATCTTGTATCGGAATGCCCTTTCAACGCTACTCCCAAAGACTCTTTAAGAACACTCCATCGCGTACTTGAGTTACTGAAATATTTAAACATTTCTTGTACAGTTCCGAAGAAGGTTATCATTGTAGGTGAAGTACTGACTGTATGAACTCCGACACGATTTATACTATGGGCAGCGCAAAGAACAAAATGGACTACCGTATGCGTGATAATGTTTGCACCATTAAGCAATGTCAAAATTTAAAAAAATCTCAAAAATTTCGTTTTCGAGTTTTGACGTAGAACTACGTTTTTGTCGACTATATTGGGGTGCAAATCAAAAAATATGTGTGGTGAAGTAGTGTTAGGTTTTGAACGCTTATAACTTTGTCATTTACAGATGAAATAAAAATCCAAATACGCCAATCGATAGGATATTACTTTACGCATCTTCTGAAATAAATGCTTTTCCAATTTTCCATAAAAAAAAACTTTTAAAAAATTTACTAATGATAATTTTATAAATATTTTCATGAAATAAATGTTTGTCCCAAACCTAGTAGTCATAATCGAGTACCACTTGGTTGCACATCACACCTGAAAAGATATAAAACTGCGCTGCTGTCGTCAGTAGTTAATATGGTTTACATCTATCCGGATTTGCTAGCGCTAGTGTACTAGCAAATATATCATATTAACAATATGATCCATTCATGCCTTTTCCAAATGTTGCAATGGCGACCCGCAAAATATTGCTTCACGCACCATCTAGCTTCGAAAAAGGTCAGCAACAATCATTCAATTACAATCGAGGGGTGCGAATATAGCACATATTACAAAACTAAGAGTCAAATTATTATCATTAATTGCATTGTGTATATTACTTTAAAATTTGTCTGACCTGTCACAGTTGTCATCAAATAAAATAAAATGCTGAAATACATTCATTTGAAATATTAAACAAGTTTTCATTTGGTTTACCCCTCGTGACGATAAACAAATACATTGGTAGCCTTTTTGGCCACAGAGGTGCTTTAATCGCTAAAAATTCGGTTCGCCAGCTAAGCGAAAGAGTCGATCATATTCTTAATATAATATATTTGGTACTAGCCAGCATAATGTAAGCAGGGCATGTGATAGCTGCAAGGTACACTAGCAAGGTGAACTACGGTGTGATAACCTTGACAACCAGCGATGAAGTCGAAGAAGACTTGGGTTAATTTATACAAATCCAAGTCTAAAACTGGTTACTTTCCTAAGGGTTTCCGGAAATTGAATCCTGGCTATTCCTAATAACTGCCATTGAACTGGTTGTTGAATTTTAATGATTCAATGGTTTCTAACCATATTCAGAAACTGGCCACTTTTCCGGAGGAATCAAAACATGGCCAATGTGTCACAGGGTCCCAAAATGACTACCATTGAACTAGTTTTTTTTTTCAATCTAATGTGATTTGAGGTGTCACATGATAAGTTTTATTCGTTTGAGGTCGAAATTAGCCTCATGCTTTGTATAAACCGCAGAATGTTCCGCTCATATTTCTGGAACCGGTTGATCGATTCCAAAAAATATGTGCTATATGTGACCATAATACCTTTCATTTAGCGACTGTTGTTTGGTTTATTACACTCGGACTTGCGGGCTCTTAAGCATACAAATGGTACTTTAAATAATAGGCCATCATGCATTTTTAGGTCCAGCAATGATTCAAATTCATTGCTGAATAAAAACGTTCAATAAAATCCTATTATAAGAACATTATTCAATATTTTTTTTGATAATAACTTTATTTTACTAGGCACAATCGAATAAACTTTACAGTGCCGAGATTTCTTGTTCACTATGCAATACATCTTAAAGCTATAGTCATGAGGTACAATACAACAAAATATTTTATCTTCAGCTATCCAAAAAGCTTCCTCCATTCACTTCCAGTAGTTTCAAGATATGGCAACATTGCCAAAGGGGGGCATTGCACGTCCACTGTAAAAATGGACGCAAATTGTGGTCTTCACTCACACACTCAACACGAAACGGTTGCTTTTCAAGGTAGATGTGTCTCTTAGCGAAAGTGAATAATCATTGAGATTATTTCTGATAAAGTAGTTTGCGGTAGTACACAATGCCTCTCAAAAATAATTACAGTGATAAATTAACTTCCGCTAAGAGATACACGTACGTTGAACCATAACCGAAACATTGTAATAGGGGAAAAGTTGGCTTCGGCAATACCTTAACCTATTATCGTCAGGGGGGTGAACAACGTCCTTGAGAGCTCAATTTTGGCATGTGGATACATTGTCTTTCAGAGCAACTATTGGCCAAATTTGAGTGCTCTAGGACTTTGTTTACCCCCCTGACGATAATAGGTTAAGATATTGCCGAAACCAACGTTTCCCCTGCTTGAAAAAATTAAGATTAAGTACAATAGGATATTATTTAATTTTTTTTTATTTATTTAAAGGGGGGATGTTTCTCAGGGTCTTAAACTATGTTAATCATCGATCGAGTTTCCACTTGCTGCAATTACGGCCTCCATACGCACACGTCAGCTTCTAATAATGTAGTCTGGATCCATTGCTCTACAGGTACGGCTCAATGTTTGTCTGAGGCTTGCTGCACGGGTGGCGTTTAGAACAGGCCTTGGCCTTCATGACGCGCTATATTGAGTAATCCATCGGATTAAGATCGGGGCTGGATGGCGGCCACATATCCTTCGCCCAGAACGGAAGATGTTCCTGCAACCACTTCTGAGTGCGGTTCGAGGTGTGGCACGGAGCCCCATCTTGTTGAAATACAACATTTGGCTTCGGACCGTACTGTTCTTTGATCCACGAAAGAACATACTTACTTAAAATCCCGATGTAGACCTCCGATTTGACCTTGTCGCCTTCTGGAATGAACACCGGGTCCATTTTTTTTTTTTTTTGCAGCCGGAAGCCACCAATCCTTACACCATAACGCTAGCAGGATGGTTGGTCAGATACACGTCTTTTACCGGAAGAGAACTAATATACCGGTCGGTTCTGGAATTTGATACGGGATCGACGGTAAACATGCTCTCGTCGGTGAACAGGATTACCGGATTTTTTCGCTTAAGGAAGTTCAAGATTTTCTTGCATCGTTCGACTCGTAGCTTCCGGATGTGGTTGGTAATTATGTGATTTTTTTTCCGTGCCCTCGACTTCGCCCCGCAATCTTCCTTTACGATCTTCCGTGCCGTAAAGTCACTGATCCCGTATTCCTTTGCCATTTTCCTTATTGAACGCACTGGATTCACCCGAATCTTCCTTTTGATAGCAGCGATAACCCTCGGAACCCGAGCTGACCTCGGACGACCTGTGGCCACCTTCGCGGATAGTTGTCCTTTCTTATCTCGGTCTAAAACCCTTTTGACGGTCCACCGGGACACACCCACGGCGATTGAAATGTCTTTTTACGACATTTGCGCGTTGGAAAAATCACGAATACGCTGCCACTTCGTCATGGTCCAACTGTCACACTAAGTAAATCATTTTCTTTTATACACAGCCTACTACGGTATGAGCTATAGGTTACGTGCATGCAAAGAAAACCAAGGCATTGTATTGCACAGGTGAAACGGGAACCTTATTTGTACGATGGTGCAAACATTATCACGCATACGGTAGATTGTTAATTTGGTAAATTTTGGCCTATCGTTCAACCAGTTTTCTCGGCCATGTTGATAAAATCGATAAAGCATTTGCTGATCTGTCATTTACCATCGAAAAAATCCAGGAAACGGATTATCTGGCTCATTTACTGCATATGTGATTGATCAGGAGTGCAATCAAAAGTAATTTTGAAAAGGCTCGCTGTTTTTGAGTTTTGGCAATCATGCCTTGAAGCCTTTGTTTGTGGAGTTTTTGAGGCAATATTTGTGTGTCGCGAGCTTATAGCATTTGTAAAAGTGGATCGCAATCGACAAAAGTGTGAGAACCGCTGCACTAGATCATCATTAACAAAGACAGAAACGATCTATCTACACACTTAGAAATACCTAATCTTGCACGTGATGGAATCCATATTTGGCATAAAGAAACATAAACAAACATGAGACGTAAGCATACATGTCATGCAAAATTAAGCGTTCCGAGACTAAAAAGTGCTCGAGTACGTTCAATTGAGCTGAATTTCGCGTCTATTATGACTCAATTTTATGTCAAAATTGACGCTCGTATATGTCAGTCTTAGAGCACCTAAATTTACATAAATTTGTCCAAGTGTGTAGTCAAGATGTCAAGTGGAAGCAAACAAGTAGACTTGAAAGAGGTCAGTGATTTCTGAACAGAACTGCTTACCAAAGAATAGATCTAGCCCATTTGAATAACTTTGCCGAAAATAGAAAGCTTCTATTTAGGCGAGCTTTGGTGTAATAATGAACTGAGCTGTACAGTACATCATTTAGCTCAACATGACCGATGAAAGCATCGTTCTATCTAGGCAAGATGTTAAGTAAAAATAAAAAAATCTAAATTGGAAAGACATCGTTTGTTTTTTGGCCCAGATTAAGGGATGAATGATACACTTAATAACAATCATTTTCATGAATCAGTTTACGTGTACTAACTAACTGATTCAGTCACCATTTGACCAGACTACCCTATTAGGTACACCGCTCGTTACACCGTACGCAAATCTGTGCTATAAGTAAAGCAAATGCATACTTTACGGCGCACAAGGTGAGTCTATGGTATATTTATAGAGCCATCATAATGAAGTAATGCAATTGGGTTGTTAAAAAACCTCATTATGATGGCTACCAAGCTTTCAGGGTTGCTTCCACTCACTTGCTATAAACAAATGTTTTTCGGAATTATTAGATCGTTAGATAATATAATGATATGTTGTACGTATAAGTAACAAGAAAAGGGTGTGTTTGACTCATAAAACTTGTCAATTTTTCTTTTAGAGCGTCACAATAAACGATCTTATGGTTCGTGAGCGTTTACTAAGAGTGATAGCTAACGAATCGTGAAATTGCTGATTGTGGCGCACTGAAAGCAATATTGACAGATTTGTTGTGTCAAACACGTACTTCACAACCTCTTGTTGTAACTTACAAGTATTAATAATTAATTATTAGAATTATAACATCGAATGATTTCATAATTTTGAAAAACATATTTTATGGCAAGTGAGTGGAAGTAACCCTGCAAGCCTGTGATGGCTTTTCTTTATTAAAGAGTTGTGTAGATTTTCCCCTTTACTTTATTTAAATCAGGCTCGCAATTGCTCATTACAGCTAAAATTCTAGTTTTTGGTATTATGAAACAATGGGATACTATAATGGTAATTTTTATTTGTAAGATGCCAGAAGAGATGGTAAAGTTTGTGTATGACATATAAAATTTGTCAATTTTACTTTCAGAAGGTCATCACTAGCGATTTTATGATCGCTGATTGCTGCTCATCACGTTGCTCATCGTTACAGCTAATCACTATAGTGACCCTCTGAAAGCTAAATCGACAGGTTTTATGCGTCATACACAAATTTTACCACCTCTTCTTGCATTTTACAAATAAAAATTACCATTATAGTATCCCATTGTTTCATAATACCAAACAATAGAATTTTAGCTGTAATGAGCAAGCTTGATTTAAATCTTTGGTTATTAGTTAGGTAGGTAAGGGTTTCTTCCAGTCACTTGCTATAAAAAAAAACGATTGTCTGAATTTTGAAATCATTTGATGTTATAATGAAAACTAATACTTGTTAGATACTAGAAGAGATTGAAATATTAACATCTAATGATCTCAAAATTCAGAAAATCATATTTTTATAGCAGGTGAGTGGAAGCAAGTCTGGGTAGGTTGATCTTGACCTTTTTTTTAGAATTTAGTGGGAATGACACTGATGAAGACTGCACAATAGACTGATGCAAAATTTGAAATTTCAGCTCCACAGTGCTCAAACGGTTTCAAATTGGGCCCTGATTAGCCTCCCAAAAGTTGAACTCATTTAGTGAGAAACTGACTTGGCACAAACCATTTGAAGTTTATATGGGAATTACTATGAAGGAACCATAATTTCGGTTCATATCTATCTCAAAATTCACCAGTTAACTCTACTTTAGAAAATGATAACTGAGCTTGTTGAAAATTTTCTCAGCTACAACTTTGTAAAAACCACTTTTCGATCAAATGCAAGGAACAAAAGTTGTTAATGATTCAAGTCACTGATGTCTTATGATTATGCTCAATCTACTGTTCAGTAGGCAACATTGGTATTTATGGCACGTAGAATAGAGGACAAGAATCATGGCTACTATGTCACTCTGCAGAATACAGTGTTGCCCTCAATACAGTTGCTTAATCTTGCCATAAGATTATCAATCTCTTAAACAATTAATAACTATTTAATTTGACGTTTGGCTGAAAAACGATTTTCTGCAAAGTTGTAGCTGATGAAAATTTCCATATGAATAACAATAGAATTTGTTATCAGTCCAATATTTAAAAAGGCTAGAAGACAATGATCAAAAAGTTTTGTTTTCCCACAGCAATTTCCATATAAACTTCAAATGGTTTGTGCCAAGTCAGTTTCTTATCAAATGAGTTTAAACTTTCGGAGGCCAATCAGGACTCGATTTGAAACCGTTTGAACACTGTGGAGCAAAAATTTCAAGTCTACTGCACATTGTAGTCGAAATACGCATCTGTCACAGATAGCAACATTAATTAAGTGGAACTAAATCTCTTTTTTTTTAATTTCATTACTTCATCAGTTAAAATGAGTTCAAGAAGTTGCAAGAACTTGCAAGAAGTTCCAAAGAACTATCGAAATTCTCGATAATTTCTCTAAAACTGGAAAATTGCATGATCTTCAGAAAAGTTCTATAAAATCCAGGATGATTTTCGGGACATTAGAAAAATTTTAGAAAGCTTCAGGGCAGTCCAATGAAGTTCCGGGAAGTTTAGAGATGTCTAAGAAAGAAAATAGGAAACTCCAGATACTAAGAATAGATTTTTTTAAGACTCTGTTTTCTGAGTAGTTAAATAAAAAGAATTTTCCCAGTTCTAGAAAGCCAACAGTGCAACAAAAGTGTAATGGATTGTTAAGATCCATTACCATTCAAAATAGTTGTTTTCTCCATTAATTTTCGGAAAAGGAATTACTTTAGAACCATTTTATTTATGATCTGAGAAATTTAATGGTAATGGTTATGGTAGTCAGTAACATCCATTTCAATCATTTTGTTCATTCGGCCAATCTCGTCCATTTGACCATTCCTCCATTCAGCCATTCGTCCATTGGGCCATTCGGCCATACGTCCATTCGTCTATTCGGCCATTCGCTCATTCAGCTATTTGTCATTCGGCCATTCGTCATTCGGCCATTTGTCCTGAGACCGATTTGACAATTGTGCTGACAAGTGGTTGCGATTGTAGCAGGATTCGTTTTGGTAAACGACATGCTGAAGTGATGTCCTAACGATTCCATAGCGCGAAGGAGCTTGGGTTTGAACCCAAGGTCTTCTGCTCAATATGCAAAATCGGTCGCCACTACGCCACCGAGCTTCTTATATCACAAAACAATATAGCTAAAGTTTCCGTTCTATTTGTAGTTATTATGTTTCAATCCAGGCGTCGACCTCACCGGTGACGACAACAACTGCTCTTGAGAAGAATTTGATATGGATCGCCAATTAACACGTCTTTTCTTAAACTCAAATATTACTTCTTTTGCGTACCCGTTTTTTAAACATACCGAAATTCATATAGGGGGTGGTACCTAAAAAATTTGGTTGTGTTAGGGTATAAGTATGTTTTAGACTTTTAATCAGAGGACAACAAGATAGTCAAATATGGTTAATTTTCTCAGTCCTAGAAAGTCGTGTTATTCTTATAATTAGGCAAGACCGGTAACATTATTAAAATGAATAAAATAACAATAACGTATGATTAAGATCATCGGATTTAGAGTGTTTTCATTCTTTAAGATTGTTAAAATAATTACTTTGCGGAAATCTCAACATATCAGCACAAACTATGGGTTTTACAATGATTTTACATAAATTGTAGATTTTTAAGGGGGTACCCAATTTGAAAAATCCCCCAAACGAAGGATAAGACAACGAGATATCGTTTTTAAATGTTCTCAAAAAATGTTCATCAAGTAATTTTCTCTTGGACTCTTGGACGGCAATATCGTAACATGCTTTAGTTAGGCAGTGTACGACCGACATCGGGACAACATACCAAACTTCATAAAGAGGGCGGTACCACAAAATTAGGACGTGTTAGGATATAGGTATGTTCAGGACTTTTACTCAGAAACCTACAAGAAAGTCAAATATGGTCAACTTTCTCAGTCCTAGAAAAAAAGTCAACTCTTAAAAAAACAAATGCTTAATCAAGACTTCATTCTAAAATACATAACTTATTGTAGATGTACTATGCAAGGGCTTTCTCCAATTCATTCATGTCAATGGAAATTAATATAAAATACTATATTTCGTTGTTCTTTCATCTTTTTTTCATTTGTATAATATCGATTTTTTTTTCTTAGGTCTTAGAAAGGTAACTGTGACAATATTGGTGTTTTCGGTTACGGAATGTGTATTCACATATTGTATTATTATAACAGCACATTTTCGTGTAATCGTGAGTTGAGTAGCCGATTCTCTCGACACTCCATCCTTATCTATCTAACTTGCAACCGCACAATATTCGCTTCGACGTCGACTTAATAGCTAGGAATACTACAATAACCAGTAAATAAATACTTGCTTTCCACATCCGTGGAAACAGACACGGACCTCCAGATGCACATTCACTCCCGGCCAGATTGGACCACAGATTTATCACAAAGCCACATCCCGGTACTTGCGAAAATCATCCGACTCGTTGCCCAGCGATTGCCGACTGTTGTTTGCACTGTTGAGATAGCCATTGTTGTAACCATAGCTGATGGTCGATTGATTGGTACTGTAGTTACCGCCCAGCCCTCCCGGATGGTGATGATGCATCTGCTGGTGCGGTGAAGCAAAATATCCAGCCGCAGCCGGTGGGAAATTGTTGTGATGCATCTGATAGAGATATGGATGCATTTGATAGTGCATGTAAGCCGGAGGGTAGGCACTGTACGCCGGGTTGTACGCAATCACATTCCATGGATTGAGGGCATAGTTCTTGAGGAGGTTGTTGCCGTATCGATGCTGTGCAAAGTCGTTCTTCTTGTATGGCAATGGGGACTCGGAAAGTGTGATGTTACCTAGGTTCTCTAACGAGACGCAGTTCCTGCCGAGGATTTTGTTGTTCTTTGTTGATTCAATCGTGTGATAGATTGGATCGTTGGGTGCCGATGTCGGATCGGTATTCATATCGATGACGCTATTATTGTCCTTACTGATCCTGCCCGTGATGTCATGCAGTTTGTTATTGATCCTGTTCTTGAGATTGTTGTTCAGAACGCTATCCGTTTCGTCGGTTCCCTTTTCTTTGGCACCTTTCTTCTCGTTCGTTGTGAGAAACTTCGGAGGGAAAATAAACCTCAGATCGAGCAGAGACTGAGTCTTTTTGCAATCCGCTGCCATCGGTGGCGGTGGAGGTCCAATGTACTGCGATGGGTTTAGCCCAAAAATGCTAGCATTGAATTCGCTTTGCGATCCGTACAGATTGTTATACTGGGTGTACTGCTGTACTATGTCAACGGAATTAGTCTCATGGGGTACATATCCTGGATTGTCAAACCCGGTCGAGGGTCGTCTGCTGGCTTGGCTTCGCTTACTGGCCCGCAGTGAGTTCATGCCATTGGTGGTTGCGTTGAAGGGAGTGGCCGGCGTGGGAGTCGTAAGCTGAAGACGCGATGCGAGCGATTCAAGCTGGGATAGGACTTTCTTCTCCTGGCGCCATCTACAATGAAAACGTAATCACAAACTCATAGTCAAATTGCAATATTTAACTACCTACCTTAGAGCTGTTGGAATGACGCACAGCAGTGCCAGGCAGTTGACTATTAAACGTACTAAATAACCTATTAATTCCGTTAGTCCATGTGCTGACTGTAGGCCCTGCAAAAATAAGTGCAAATGCACAACACGCATCAATATTAGACATAATTCCATCATACACCCACTCAAATGCAACTAACCCAATACTGGATGGTCATGTACATAACGAGCGCCAGTTCCGGCACCGACAGCACTCCAATGATGATCGACCAGCTGAGCAAGCCCCACGACATGCCCTGCACAAAAAAGGTGGAATGGATATTTGAATTTAGATCAAGAGCTGCTTCACTGAGTTATTCAAATTGTGCACACTTACCGTCGACAGCCCATGGATGAGGATGGCAGACGAAATGAAGAGAATGAAAAATTGAGCACACAGCAGATAGGACGGTATGGGAAGGTCCCCTTTACCTTCCAATATCCACGAAACTTCGCAGGAAAATGCTATCAGGTAAGTCATCTAAAATAAAAAAAAAATGATAATTGAAATAACATAAAAAAGTAGAAGGCATTCTGAAACGAGATGCACACTCTCTGAAAATCAAACAGCGGCAAAATCAAGCTTTATGCTCAACAATGGAATTATTTATCTTAATTTTAAGTGGTGCAAAATAATTTTAGAGATCTTCAAAAAATTGAATGGAAATAGATATTAGATATTTTCCAGTTCTGGAGCAATAGCAGCCTTCTGGATTACTAACTACGGTGCCAAATTTAAATAAAAAAAAACAGTTTAACATCTAAGAAGTGACCCTAGAAACTCCAACATAGCGGTTCAGGACGAGATCTGCACTCAGTACCTTTTGAATAAATAAGGGCACAGCGAAGCTTTGCTGCTAACTACTGGACGGGTTCACTATGAGGATACTCCATAAACGGAGGTGGTCAAAAATACATATTACCGTGCCAACACCATATTTGACGCGGTTCCTAATGGTGACGCAATTGTCTATTTTTTATCGCAATACGATTTTGGCGAGATATTTTTAAATGCTATGTTATGGAGATCGAAGTAGGCCGCGCTGCGAAAATGACGTGCTTATGTTTTGCTGCGTCGTTTTCGTTCTAGTGAAAATGTTATAAATTTACAATTTCATTTTTAAAAAGTGTTATTTTGAAAGTACAAAAGTGATGTTGAAAAATGCATTAAGTGAAAATTTTCAAATCCTTATCCGTTGCATGTGGTGCCGACTTTTCTAACCTACGCGTAGCTACGCTCAGCTAAGTTTATTTACCTTTTCGTTCCTCTTTCCTCAATAGGAAATACGTGTCAATCAAGTATTGCACTACTGCTTGATTGAAAGTTTCAGTACATTATCAATGGTGTATATTTGCATCGATAATGTATTGGAGCGGAGCTAATCATGTGTGAAAATAGCTTCGGAATGCTTGCATTCTTGAAATGGGCTATTGTAGCTGCGGTAGAGCTTCGCCTTATAACTTCCGGGTTCAAGCTTCTTGCATTCATAAAAAATGATTGCAGGCAGATTTTATCCATAATGCCACTGCCAGACAGTGGGAATTAGGCCAAGGGCGAAACTTCATTCTAATCTACGATTCCACATACTATTAATAACCTTTTAAACTTCAGAATGAATTGTGCATATGTTTAGGATCAACAAACATTTTCAGGCGCAAAGGAGTAACAGGATCGAGCTGATAACGTTTCTTAAATCCAAAATCCGAAGACTGTTTTGAATAATATGTTTAGGTAATGGGCAGCAACAACGGACAGATAAACTACTTACAGCTTCTATTTATTAAATGCTTGATATAACGATTGACAACAACGCCGGCTGGGCGTATCCTATGGCTTATCCTCCCTACTAACAAAAATCCACCCTTCCCGTGACACTTATGAGGGGTCGTAGAGTTCTCTTCATCTCTTTTAAGTAAGTGTCGGACTAACATACCTCCCCTTTCCCCACCAGATGCAAGGACGTGGCCTGGACAGCTCTGGTCGGTTGGAGGGAGACACATCCTTTTTCTAAGAGGTAGTAATTAATCACAAATTACTATCTAACAGCAACGGATGAAGGTGGGTTTCCTTCTTAACAACAGTTTGGAGCTCGTAACACCTAAGACATTGTGCAACCTGGTTTATGCTATGCTATATGTTTAAAAGCTTTGTTTCACTATCTTCCCTAGAGCACCGAAACTATTTGCATGGAAAATAGTCGAAAATTATCTAGTGCGTCAAGTTAGGAACCGCGTCCGTGGTGCCTTCATGGTAGTTTGTTTGTTCTGCATTATTTGACACATTTTGTATTAGCAAAATTTATAATTACATATTTTTAAGATCCTGCTGAATTCTACACAGTTCGCAGAGCTGATAGCGGGTCACTTTTTTAAAGGTGGTCACTAAAAGTCCCTATTTTTGTAAAAAAAAAGTCAATAAAGTCACTTTTTTCGCCATTCCCGCTTGAATTGCAATGAAAATTCGTTGAAAAAAATAAATAAAAATTGTTACAGTGCTACAGTACACTAAGCTCTTAGTTGTAAGTTCATAAAACTAACGAACGAAAAAGTACGCAGAAGAAACCAAGACGGCACATCATCAAAGTACACTTTTATTTGTAATTTCGCACCTTTCAGGAGTCCAGATTGAACTGCAAAATTAAATAATCAGGGTTACCGGGAATTCGGAATAACCGGAAATTACCGGAAATTCGATGTCACCGGGATAAACTCGTAAACTTCGATGCCAAATTGAAAAAAAAAGTGCTTCTTCCACTCTTTAAAAAATCTCACGACTAGATTTCCAGGATACAGTAACTTTGAAGAACTATTAAGAGAACTATTATACAAAGCAGTTTTGAACAGATTTTAGAATAGATTATAGAGATATGTAATACCATACTTCGGACAAAAAGTTCTAGGGAGTTTTGGGATGAACTATACGAGGGTTATGACTAGATCTCCAAGTCAATTGTGTGAGATCAGTGGTTTTTCAAGTAGCCCTTTGAACAATTTCTTGGGTACAACTTGGACTAGGAACTACTTGGAAAGCATTTCCAGATAATTTTAAGGAGAACTCCATGTGAATTTTCAGTAGAACTTAGAGGAGAACTCCAAGACAATAACATGAAAAATCTTAAACAAAAAGATCACAAAATATACAGAAAACATATAAATCGTGATAATCTCGAAAAGTATTTAAGTATTTGTGATCAACTTAATGATGCAATTTCTTTGGAATTGTCTGAGTATAACATAAAAACTGAGAATGAAATTAAATCATGTCCAAGAAACTTCTTCAATTACATCAAAACTTGAATGAAATCGTGTTACGTTCCATCAAAAATGACATTGGATGAAAAGGAAGGTAATAATTCTGATGATGTATGTAATCTTTTCGCCACTTTTTTTTCAAGAAACATACACGAATTTTTTAAATATTTTTCTTATTTTCCTGACTTTTCAACTACTGTTGGCGTTAATAACATTTCGGTTCATGATATTTGGAATAGCCTACAAGATTAAGACGCCACTAAAGGTTCAGGACCAGATGGAATCCCACCTATTTTTATGAAAAACTTAGCAACTGAACTCACAACCCCTTTATTCTGGCTGTTTAATATGTCGCTTGAATCCGGTATGTTCCCGAAGGAATGGAAAAAAATCTTATTTAATACCAATATATAAATCAGGCAAAAAAATCCGATATTCGAAATTATCGTGGGATTGCTATCATTTCGTGCATTCCAAAACTCTTCGAATCATTTATTAATAAAAACATTTTTGGCCAAATAAAACAAAGAATAACTAGTGCACAACACGGCTTTTTTAAAGGCCGTTCAACCACCACAAACCTTTTGGAATTTGTGGACTTCGTCTTAAATGCAATGGACAGAGGTAGCCAAGTAGAAGCTCTATATACAGACTTCAGCAAAGCGTTTGACAGAATTGATATCCCAATGGTGATTTTTAAATTAGAAAAAATGGCAATTGAGAGGGAGCTCCTCACCTGGATTAAATCGTATTTAGTTGATCGCCAGCAAATTGTAAGATTCAACGAGAAAACATCTAAGCCAATCCCAGACAACCAGAAGTCGTATAACAATGTGCAGACAGTATCGTAAATTGCTACAGTTTAAGTCAAAATCGCATATCAGAATGGCATGCATCGCATTATGTTTAAGTTAAAGCGTGTAGAATGCAAATTTCCGACCTATATGCGATGATTCATTTTTCCGTCGTACTGTATCACAAATCAAATCGGATTACATCGCAAGACTTTTCAAAGTGAATTTGTTATCACAGATTAAATCGTATATGATGTAAAATCGTTTAAAATTAAATTAAAATTTGCACGTATATGGCCTCCACATTTGTACGTATAGCCATTTCTTTGCATTCTATACGATTTGTTGGTTTGTATATATGTTTGTATATCATGAAAACAACTTTGAATATACGTGCATTCTGGTTGTCTGGGATTCATGTCACGTCAGGGCTCGCTCCTAGGTCTCCTTATTTTTATTTTGTACATTAATGACGTCTCTCTTAAAGGGTGATACGGTCAAAATTTGGTCAAGGGAAAACGCGTGTAAATCGGTGAAATCGTTTATTTAAAAAATCAAATTAAATTTCTTTTTCAAGTTCAATTAGTATAAAATTCAGGAAAAATATTCAGTTAGGCTTCCGCTTTTCCAAATCCGAATTGCCGGGCCTTACGCTTGACCCCTGCCATCAGATTTTGTACAGCCACCTTGTCCACCTTCTTCGCCGCAGAAAGCCAGTTTGCCTTGAACTGCTGCTCGCCATTAGCAGTTTTTTTGGTCTTCTTTAGGTTCCGCTTGACAATAGCCCAGTATTTCTCAATTGGGCGGAGCTCTGGCGTGTTGGGAGGGTTCTTGTCCTTGGGAACCACCTGCATGTTGTTGGCGGCGTACCACTCCATGGCCTTTTTACCGTAATGGCAAGATGCCAAATCCGGCCAAAACAGTACGGAACAACCGTGTTTCTTCAGGAAAGGCAGCAGACGTTTATTCAAACACTCTTTCACGTAAATTTCTTGGTTGACAGTCCCGGAAGCTATGAAAATGCTGCTTTTCAAGCCACAGGTACAGATGGCTTGCCAAACCAGATATTTCTTTGCGAACTTTGACAGTTTCATGTGCTTGAAAACATCTGCTACCTTTCCCCTTCCTTTTGCCGTATAAAACTCCTGTCCCGGAAGCTGCTTGTAGTCGGCTTTGACGTAGGTTTCGTCGTCCATTACCACGCAGTCAAACTTCGTCAGCATCGTCGTGTACAGCCTCCGGGATCGCGCTTTGGCCGTCGTATTTTGTTTATCATCGCGATTTGGAGTCACTACCTTCTTGTAAGTCGATAGTCCGGCTCGTTTTTTGGCTCGATGCACGGTTGTAGACGATACACCCAGCTTATTTGCGGCATCTCGGAGAGAGAGGTTAGGGTTTCGCTTGAAACTACCGGCAACTCTCTTTGTCGTCTCAG